AGATATACAAATGGCCAACAAACATATGAAAAAATGGGAGGCCAGGCATGGTAGCTCACACCTGTAATCCCAGCACTTTGGGGGCTGAGGCAGAAGGATCACCTGAGGTCAGGAGTTCAAGACCAGACTGACCAACATGATGAAACCCCATCTACTAAGAATACAAAAATTACCCAGGCATGGTGGTGCACACCTGTAATCCCAGCTACTCAGGAGGGTGAGGCAGGAGAATTGCTTGAACAGGAGATGGAGGTTGCAGTGAGTGCATATTGCACTGCTGTACTCCAGCCTGGGAAAAAAAGTGAGACTCAGTCTAAAAAGAAAGAAAAGAAAAATGCTCAGTATCACTGAGGGATTATCAGGGAATTATCAGGGAAATTGCAATTATTGCAATTATCAGGGAAATGCAAGTCAAAACAATGAGATACCACCTTACTCTGGCAAGAATGGTCATAATTTAAAAATAAAAAAATAACAGATGTTAGCTTGGATGTGATGAAAAGGGAAATTTTACGCTGCTGGTGGGAATGTAATCTAGTACAACCACTATGGAAAACAGTATGGAGATTCCTTCAAAAACTAAAAGTAAAACTATTATTTGATCCAGCAACCCTACAACTGGGTACCTACCCAGAATAAAAGAAGTATTATATGAAAAAGACACTTGCACACATGTGTTTATAGCAGCACAATTCACAATTGAAAAAATATGAACCAGCCTAAATGTCTGTCAACCAAGTGGATAATGAAAATGTGATACACACACACACACACACACACACACATACACACACACATATATATATATATATATATATATATATATATATATGAATACGACTCAGCCATATACCACATTTTATATATATGGTATATATATTACATATACATTTATATATATATGGAATACTAATCAGCCATAAAAAGAAATATAATGGCATTTTCAGTAACCTGGATGGAGTTGGAGACCATTATGCTAAGTGAACTCAGGAGTAGAAAACCAAACATCATATGTTCTTACTTATAAGTGAGAGCTAAGCTATGAAGACACAAAGGCATAAGAATCATATAAAAGACTTTGGGGACTTGAGGGGTAGGGTAGGAGTGGAGGAAATAAAAGACTACACATATTGGGAACAGCACACACTTCTCAGGTGACAAGTTTACCAGAATCTCAGAAATCACCACTAAAACATTTTTCCATGCAACAAAACACCACCTGTTCCCAAAAACTTTTGAAATAAAATTTTAAAGTAATTTTTTCAAAAAAATTGGATTTGTCTATGAGGTTTTATTAAGAACTAGGTTTGACATAAACAGTACATTAAAGCAAAGGTGAATTTTAGCTTTCTCTGTTGAATAAGATTTTTTGTAATATGAGAAAAATGATGAAAGATTTTTGTTTCCCCTTTGAATAAACTACAGGAAAAAAGAGTGGAAAGAAAAGAGACAGATTGTTTGGAAAGCTCAGTCTTCCTTATATCAATGAGTAAATGTTTTTGCCTTTAAAAATCTTCGAGTTATCATTTTGGCAAAATAAGTGAGATGGTGACCAGGGATTCTCTTTTATAAGATCAAGTGTTTTGAACTTTTGATTTTTGACAAAAGTTCAAATCAAATTATAAATTACGTCTCTTTCCGACCTATTTGATCTTTTAGATATTAAGAGCCCTAAAGTCCAAAGATGACATATTTGGTTTATTTGGTATATTAAAATAATATAGAAACCATTGTTGGGTATGAAATGGTGTTTAGCTTTCTTTGGGCTGTATTTGTATAGATGTGTTACTGGTATGTGTTCCAAAGTTATGGGAAGCTCTCATAATTCTGATATGACTTAGTGTATATTGTCAGAAATAATTATGTTAGTTTTGTTAATTATTGTGTGCCACAGAAGTAACCAAATTTCCTTGTCACTTGTGTCTTTGAGTATGGCTATCCTAAGTCTTTCTTTCATCCATAGACAATTTTTGTTTTGTTTTGATCCTCTTTAAAAGGTGGTTTATTATCAGCTGACAAGTGCCTTTGAAGGTAGATCTCTGATGACTTTGAAAAGTGTGCCATTAAAACAGAGAGGAAATAACTTCCAAGACTCTCTTGGAAAACTACTGTGTTCATAAATGTCAAGCAGGACAGGAATTAGTTGCATAGATTGAACTAGTAAAAGATTTAAATAGTTTTTTCATGACTTTCTGCTTGAAATATTGCTGATCCTTTCTGTTTTGTTTTTCAGAGTCAAGAAAACTTTTGGGGGGGGATATTTACAGCTTTTGGCAATTGAGTGGAGTATACTCTTGTGAGTAAAATTTGGAGCATATCTTCTTCTACATTATTTATCCAAAATTTGAAAACTATTTGTGAGTATTCTTATGGCAATATAGTTATTTGCATAAGTGCAATAAGAATCTGTTTTCTTTGTAACAGGACATAATTGGAGAAATTGGTTATTTTATGAGGACTTTGACTGGAGTGGTATTCTTTTAAATAAACACACTGCATTAAGGAATCAAAGTTGACTTATAGAGCCAATAAAAGCCCCTAGGGAAAGCTAGCCTCATTCCATGTCTACACAGTCTCTGTACAAGCTTCCTGACCTGCAGTAAATAAAGAACAAAGAATGTCACTTTCTGACAGTCCTAGGATCTGCAAGTGATCTTGGGACCTCAAGAGAAGAGAAATTCACCCCTAATGCAGTTATTGCAAGCACAAACTCATGGCTGGGCTCAAGGCTTTAAGAGGTCTAATCTGAGATTCCTTATGGAACAAAGTTTCATCAAAGCTAATTTAAAAAGAGCCTGCATGGTGAATAATTATTCTTCATGCACTTTATGCAAATAATTAGGCCAAGTGTAGCCAGGTTAAAACTAATCTTGCAAACAAATCAGTCTACCATGGTTTATTTTTAATAAAAGCTGGGGTTGGAAAGAGAAATGTTGTTTCAAAAATCTATGATACACCTGTTGTTAGATTCTGGTCTTGTCTATTGTTTTTTATTTTTTCCTGAAATTTAGGCTGACCTTGTTTGTTTCTGTGAACCAACCAGTGATCTCCAGCTGTTGCTCAAAAGAAATAAGAGGAATGGGTAACACAAAAATCTGGATCAGTATTCTAATTCTGGCCATGTATTGGGATCAGCTAGCAACCTCATATCAGCTTGGTTCCAAAAACTACCCAGTTGATGGAAAGCCTTCTTATTTAGTCACTTGGGATAATCTTATTTTGCTTTACTGTTGTGGACTATATTGCTGTTGTACTCCTTGTGTAGAAATGCAGGATAAGCTTACTCAATGTTTTCTTAAATTGTACACATTGATCTTCCAGATATCACCTTTTGTCAGAACTCAGAGTTATGAATGGCCCTCAGCATATTAACACTTTCTGACTGAGCTCCTCTCTACCCTGGATATGAGACCCCAATAGTTAGGCAGGAATATCATTGCCCCATTCAGCCTGAAGAAGTTATAGAAGACGGACCTTCATCCCTCTGCAACCCTTAGGATTGAGGGTCCCCTGGTAAAAGGGAGGGGGAAATATGTTAGAGGTGTTCAAACCAGACTGACTCCATCTTGAATAAGGGCTGGTTAAAATAAAGCTAAGACCCACTGCACTGCATTCCCAGGAGGTTAAGCATTCTTAGTCACAGGTTGAAATAGGAAGTAGGCAAGATTGATACTACAAGATCCTGCTGAAAAAACAGGATGCAGTGAAGAAGCTAGCCAAATTGCACCAAAACCAAGAGGGTGACAAAAGTGACCTCTGGTCGTCCTCACTGCTCATTATACACCAACTATAGTGTATTAGCATGCTGCAAGATACTCCTGTCAGCACCATGACAGTTTACAGATGCCATGGCAATGTCCAGAAGTTGCCCTATATAGTCTAAAAGGGGGAGGAACCCTCAGTTCTGGGAACTCTCCACTCCTTTCCTGGAAAACCCATGAATTGCCCACCCCTTGTTTAGCATATAATAAAAAAGTAACCATAAGTATATTCAGTCAGGTAGTTCATACTGCTGCTCTGTCTGTTGAGGAGCCATTCGTTTGTTTCTTTACTTATCCAATAAACTTGCTTTCACTTTTAAACAAATGTGCTGTTTTTTTGTTGGGGATGCTATACAAGCTGATATCCAAAGCCATCTCTCCGAGAACTACTAAATTTCTGAGTGACTCCACATGTATGTGAAACAAATATGTCAATAAACTATTGGCATTTTATCTTGTTAATCTATCTTTTGTAACTGGAGTCTGTTCTGACTAAGAACCTGTGGTCGTCACTCTTTTGCTCCTCCAGCACCATTCAGGGGACCCACTGAGGAGAGGACCACATGACACCACATGTGCTTCTCATCAGCCATAGAATACTCTCCAGCTGGGACATATTCCTGTGTTTCATCTTTTCAACTAGACCAGGATTTGCCACATCTATTCTCTTTTTAGTCCCCCTGACACACCCACCCTCCATCCTGCCACACACACACACACTATACACGTGCAAACATCTCCAATTAAATTAGGCTATAGTGGACTTTGGGATGGAGGGAGGTGCTAGGACCCCAAGCCCTGCTCTGCCTGTAAGCAGCAGTTCACTGACACATTTGCTGTTTTGACAAATATGACTAGATAACCCCTGAAAGCTTCCAGCTCTAACAGTCTATGATTCAGTAAATTGTTACCCCAAATGATTGTATTTCACAGGACTGTATTCAGCCTATATGCAGATTATCAATCCCCAGGTAGTCTCTGAGAAAGACAAACACCCGCCATCTACTTTGCAGATCCTGAGACTGTGGTTTATATAAATAGGGACTGGTGTGGCTAGAAAGCCTGTATTCCTGAGGCTAGGTGCAGTGACTCATGCCTATAATCCCAGCAGTTTTGGAGGCCAAGGTGGGAATATTGCTTGAGGCCGGGAGTTTGAGACCAGCCTGGGCAACAGAGCCAGACCCCATCCCTACAAAAATAAAATAAAATAAAGCATTAGCCAGGTGTGATGGTGCATACCTGTAATCTCGGCTACGCAGGAGGCTGAGGTAGGAGGATCACTTAGGCCTTTAGTTTGAGGCTATAGGAAGCCATAATTGCACCACTGCACTCCGGCCTAGGTGAAGGATGAGATCTTTTCTCTAGAAAAAAAACAAAAGAAAGCATGTGTTTACTATCAGCAGCCTCCACCCAGAAATCTCATGAGATCACCTCACTGGGCAGCAGACAAATTATATCAACTCTATATTACACAAATACTCCAGACCACAGGGCAGCAAAATAGAAGGAAGATTTATTAAGCAAATAAAACATTCAGAAACTTAGACTTATGCCATGGCAAACCAAACCCTTTTCCTAAGCGCAGCGTTCGTTTTTTCCCAAAGCCCTTCTGTGTGCCACCTTCATTCTTCCTGGTGCCTTGATAGAGAAGGTACTTCCTAAATAGTTTCCTCTATTTACAACCCCTGAGGACTCCAGAGAGAGGGCATTGACAACCGCCTGTGATACTGACGCTCAAATCAATGTTTTAAACATTGAGCTCCAAAATGAACAAGACTAAGGAAAATAAGCAGCCCAATTTGTATTCCTTCAATCTTTGAGCAGGAGTAAACCAGATTTTCTTGCCAAATTCATAGATTTTTAGCACTGCAACAAGAATTTTGACACTTAACAACTTCTAAAGGACCCATAAAAATCACTCAACAAGAGGGGGCAAATACGTGGGTCATTCAGGTAAATTGAGGTCCTGGGGAGCACTTCCCACCTTTGGCAAGTTAAGTACCTGTTTGCCACAGGCCAGGCCTCATTCATCACCACTCCAGTACCGTCTCCTGACATCAGCGAGTTTTCGGCCCCTTGACAGCACCTGTCTGGCAGCCTGGGCTATCAGCTGTTCTCCTGTCATTCTGGTTGAGCACAGGAGATAGCCTTGGCCCAGCCCTGTGGAATCTTCCAGTCCACGCCCTTCTCCTCCCCACAGCCCAACACACACACACACAACACCAAGGGGACAAATGAACAGTCAGTTTAGTTTCCCTGCGTTCAACAGGAGGGCACCAGATGGAAGGCTGCAGAACGCACCGAGCCAGGGCCTTTGTGGGGAGGTGGGCTGTGGGGGGCTGTCACCATAACTACAGGAAAAGCACCGCTGAAGTTTCTATTTTGGTGCTGCCACTAATTACTGTGAATGTTTCATTCGACCTGTGATCAGCCATCCCCAGAGCCTCCTGTTACTGGCAGATGGCGTGTTTTCTTCTCTCTAGAAAGTTACCCAAAGACCACAGTTGTGTTTGGTTGTTTCATTCTTTTTTAAAACACTGACTGGCTTAAGAATGCTTTGTTTTTGCATTTCATTATAACAGTCAGATGCCACTAGGTTTTCTCCAAACAAACACTATTCTGAGAAATAAAAGGCAGGCCTAGTAGCATTGACTAATTTAGTTTAAATATATTTAGTTTAAATTATATATCAGTGAGAAAAAGGATAGTTATGCCCTTATGAGTAGAAATACTTAACAGATCTGACAAGTAGATCCACATGAGGTTATTTTTAGTTCAACTTTCCCTATTAATATTTTTTATTTTTTAAGAGTTAAGGTCTCATTCTGTTTCTCAGACTAGAGTGCAGTGCCACAATCACAGCTCACTGCAGTCTCGAACTCCTAGTCTCAATCAATCTTCCCCCATTAGCCTCCCTAGTAGCTAGGACTACAGGTATGAGTCACCACACCCAGCTAATTAATTTTTTTGTTGAGATAAGGTCTAGCTATGTTGCCTAGGCTGGTCTCAAACTCCTGGTTTCAAGTGATCCTCCTGACTTGGTCTCCCAAAATGCTAGGGTTACAGGCATGAGCCACCATACTCAGCCTTTCTGTTTATATATTAAAAATTGTAGGTGAAACACCATCTCTACTAAAAATGCAAAAATTAGCAGGCATGGTGGTGCATGTCTGTAATCCCAGCTACTTGGGAGACTGAGTCAGGAGAATCACTTGAATCCAGGAGGTGAAGGTTGCAGTGAGCCAAGATTGTGCCACTGTACTCCAGCCTGGGTGACAGACTGAGACGCCATCTCAAAAAAAAAAAAATTTATTTTACTCACCAAGAATCACCCAGGAAAAAGCTTAGGGTTAACCTGTAGCCGGCTTTCAAATCAACACAGGATTGAACGGGTTTGGTGTGGCTCTAGAGGGCACAAGTGAGACCAAGATTCAACAGCAATAACAACTCAATCTACATTTTAAATTCTATTCATATAACTGTTGTAACGGGGAAGGAAAAACTTCCATTCCACCCTCTGAGGATTTGCTGCTAAAATGAACTGGCAATAGACAGATTAACAGGAGAAAAAGCATACGCATTTATTAATGTGAATAAGCACAGAATCATAAAAAATATGAGACTCAAAGAAGGCCCAGACGACTGAGGCTTAAGTGGAACCTCTTCATAGGGGAGAGAGAGATGGGGGTGTAGGCAACTTTGAGGGGTAGTGAATGATTTTTAGGGGAAATAAATGAGCCCAAATAATGGACAATGGGCCTGTGACAAAGTTTTTTTGAGGTCTGGGGGATGTGGTGGCAAATTACAGGAAGGTATGGGTCAGAACTGCAGTAGGAATTGTTGTTTTATTATGCAGCTGAAGTCTCCAGGTAATCTCTCAAAACTGCCCTCAGAAGAATAGATGAAAAGTCTGGGTGTGATTATGACTTTTAGTCTTCTCTCTGGTGGTTAATTGTTTCTAGATATTTGATGTGATTTCTAGAGAGGGAGTTTTAAGATAGTTGCTTCTTCTGGAGGAACTTCCCTTAATCAGAAGTTCTTTGAAGGGAACTTCAGAGGAAACCCTTCCCAGTGCTTTGGCAAAGAAAGATCAGGAGACAGGTGGGCAGGGGAAGCTCAGAGAAAGACCTTGGTTCACCACAACAAAGCACCATATTTTAGGGTATCATTTTCTGAGCCCCAACACTATGTCCCATAAAGGTTTGAGGCAGCTTACCAAAACATATACGTGTGTGTGTGTGTGTGTGTGTTAATATTTAAAAATGCATAAATATTTGAGGGAATTGATGTCAGAAAAGCAATATGTGAGAAAAGAATAAAACTACAATGTGGGCTGGAAATGGTGGTTCACACCTGTAATTCTAACACTTTGGGAGGCCAAGGTGGGAGCATCATTTGAGGCCAGAAACTCAAGACAAACCTGGGCAACATATCAAGACCTTGTCTCTAAAACAAACAAACAAACAAAAGACTTAGCTGCGTATGGTGGTGTAAGCCTGTAGTCCCAGGTACTGGTGAGGCTAAGGTGGGAAGATCACTTGAGCTCATGAATTTGAGGCTGTAGTGAGCAAAGATCATACTCCAGCACTCCAGCCTGGGCAACAGTGAAACCCTGTCTCAAAAAGAAAAAAGAAGCTATGTTGAAAATAACACAAGTGAATGCATGCCATATAGTTCTGCACACTTGCTACAGGGGAAAAAAATGCCATACTACAAGATAGTTATTTCTTCCAGAAGCTAAAGCAAACCAGCTATTCACAAGAAGCACCAACTTCTCTGTTGCTGGGATCTGAGGGAACCACCTCAAGGCAGGCTTCTTGTTGGTATGGTCTCTGGCCAGCCTACATCTGGCAGAGAATTACTGTATCACTGAGTCAGAACCAAAGAGGTATCATTTTTAAAGCCTATTCACTATTATAATATGGTTTTCTATTTAAAAATTAGAAAAATATTTTCAAAATAGGATTAAAAAAAATCTACAAAACCCTTCTAGACTCTGGAGATACAAAGAAAACAATGACTTTTTATCAGGAGATTATACTACAATCTTTGGTGTATACAAAATTTCTTTGTTAATCAAAAGGATGAGAAATCAAAGCAATGAAGTCTGCTCCTAGTAAGAAAATGAGGGGAAGGAGAAAAAGTAATATCTGTTCCTCACCCATCACAAGGATCATAGCTAACACTGTTACAGCAAAATATAGACTAATAAGACAAAAAAGTAACAAATTTATTTAAGAGTTTTACATGACATCAGAGTCTTCAGAAAGGAAGATCCAAAGACCCAGGTAAAAGTGTATTTTTATGCTTGCATTTGATGAAGAATGGACAGTTATATAGAAATGTGATTGTACAAAAAGTGGGCATGACCTAATAGAACTAAACTGGAGGGAGCTCAGCAAGGCCTGTCTGTTCAGGTACTCCTTGGTCTCTCTGTCCTTTCCTCCAGGTATAGGGCAGCCCACCTGCACATGAGGTTCTTATGATCTCCTTCCAGGGAAGGTAACTCAGAGAATTCCTTTATGTCCAGCTCTCACACAAAAAGGTTGAGGAAGGTCAGAGTAGCCTTCTTGCTTCTGAGACCCTTCCCATTTTCTTCAGTTCAGAGAAGTTTGGGGTTGCATTTTCTGAGCCCTGACAATCATTTAGTAGAGAGAATTCAAAGCATCAAATGAGAGCTGAACTTCTGAATGCTAGAAAGTACCTTAGGAATTATACTATTAAAACTAGCACTGGCACCCATCCCCAAATTCATATGGAATCTCAGAGACTTCAAATAGCCAAAACAATCTTGAAAAAGCAGAACAAAGTTAGAGAAGTCACACTTTTTAATTTCAAAACTTACTAAAAATCTACAATAATCAAAACAGCATGGTACTGGTATAAAAACTGACACATAGACCAATGGAATAGAATAGATACCCCAGAAATAAACCCATGCATATATGGTCAATTGATTTTTGACAAGAGTGCTAAGATCATCAAGTGGGCAAAGGACAGTATTTTCAACAAATGGTGCTGAGAAAGCGAGACACTAAAGGGCACTAGGCTTTAGTATGGCACTACACCATCACAAATATGCGTTTTTCATATGGATTGTCTCAAGCTAAGGCCAGTGAGAACATGCAGACACAGGAAAAGCCCTAAAAACAGTGTGCACGTTTTCCTTTTATTTTTTAAAGGAAACTTCCACTTGCAGAGATGGCCTCCTCACCTGTACCAGGAAGCAAAGGACTTTTACTCTTATCAATGGAGAGGGCACCAACTTAAATCTGTATAACATACCTTACTAAACAACAATAATTTCACTGATCATCTTTCCATAACTTGCCTCTCCCACTCAGAAGCCCCAGCTCCTTGTCTTTTGTTTTAGACTAAGAAGATAGATGAACCCACGACCTAACTTCTCTTTTGGGTGATTCACCTCTGGGTGCTTCCATGTGTACAAGTGCAATGCATATGCTAATGAAATTTTATTTGGTCCTCTGTTAATCTGTCCTTTGGCCTGTCTAATTTGCAGGACCCCAGCTGGAGAATCTAAGGTGGGTAGAGGAAAAGATTTTCTTCCTCCTCTACAATATTCATATGCAAAAGAATGAACTTGGATCTTACAACATAAACAAAAATTAAAATTGGATTAAAGGCCTAAATGAGTTAAAACTATGAAACTCAGAAAAAAACACTGGCGAAAAACTTCATGCATTAAATTTGGTATGATTTCATGGGCATGACACCAAAAGCACAGTCTATAAAAAATAAATAGGCTGAGCATGGTGTCTCACACCTGTAATCCCAGCACTTTGGGAAGCCAAGGCTGGCAGATCACTTGAGGTCAGGAGTTCAAGACCAGCTTGGTCAACATGGTGAAACCCTGTCTCTACTAAAAATACAAAAAAAATTAGCCAGGCATGATGGCAGGCATCTATAATCCCAGCTACTTGTGAGGCTGAGGCAGGAGAATCACTTGAACCTGGGAGGTGGAGGTTGCAGCAAGCCGAGATTGCACTACTGCACTCCAGCCTGGGTGACAAGAGCAAAACTCCTTCTCAAAAAAGGAAATAAATAAATACAAAATGTATTGGACTACATCAAAATTTACAGCTTTTGTATCAAAGGATACTATCAAAAGAATGAAAAACAAACCGCACAGAATGAGGAAAATACTTGCAAATCATCTGCCTGATAAAGGATTAATACCCACAAAATACAAAGAACTCCTGCAACTCAACAACAAAAAATAAGCAACCCTATTAAAAAATAGGCAAAGGACTTGGATAGACATCAGTAAGTACATGAAAAGACGTTCAACATCACCAGTCATTAAGGAAATGCAAATCAAAACTACAATGAGATATCAGTTCATACCCATAAGATTGGCTATTGTTTTTAAAAATAGAAAATAAATATTGGCCAGGATATAAAGAAATTGGGACAAATCACTACATCACTGGTGGGGATATAAAGCAATGCAGCTGCTGTGGAAAGCAGTTAGGTAGTTACCAAAAAAAGACAAATATAGAATTACTATATAACCTAGAAATTCTACTCTTAGATATACACCCAAAGAACTGAAAGCAGGGACTTAAACATAGACTTGTGCATGAGTGTTTATTGCAGTATATTCACAATAGCATCCCATCCCACCAACAACTTTGAGTTATACAACTTGCACATAAAATGGAAGAGGATAGAAAATAGACCCTTAAATGGAAAAAATCTGAATAAACTAAAGCCTAGTTTTATTTTTTATATTTTGTTTCTTTTCTTTTTTTGAGACAGAGTCTCACTCTTGTCACACAGGCTAGAGTACAGTGGGACAATCTTGGCTCACTGCAATCTCTGCCTCCCAGGTTCAAGCAACTCTCCTGCCTCAGCCTACTGAGTAGCTGGGATTACAGGGAGATGCCACCACACCTGGATAATTTTTGTATTTTTAGTAGAGATGGGGTAGAGAGGCAGAGATATGTTCCCTCTAGGGAGGATTCAGCCTACTGATAGTAGAATAGAGAAGGGGTCATTTACTGAGTGCTCTGTGCTCATTGTACATGTCCCTTTAATAATGCTCAGAGTCATTCTATGTTGGCCAGGCTGGTCTCAAATTCCTGACCTCAGATGATCTGCCTCCCAAAGTGCTAGGATTACAGGCATGAGCCACCATGCCTGGCCTAAAGTCTAGTTTTAAATTCCATAAATGTTTTTTGGAATTCCATAAAAGTGCAGAGTCCATAAATGTTTGATGAATTAAGTACTCACATTTCAAGGCCCAGCTCAAATGTCATCTCCTTTGAGAAGCTCTCCTCTCAGCCTGTATGCTCTGTACTCTGGTGGAATGATTGTGTGTCTATTACTGCACTTAGCAGAGGGTGGGGTGGGGCAGCATTGTGGTCTACAGAGTGGACAAAGCACAGGTTGATTTCCAGACCCTACTCTGTCCTAAGCTGTGTGACTCTGGATAAGTTACTTAGCACTCCTGAGTTTCCTCATGTGGAAAGCCAGCAATCACTCCTACCTCTTAGAATGACTCTGAGCAGTATTAAAGGGACATGTACAATGAGTACAGAGCACTCAATAAATGACCCCTTCTCTATTCTACTATCAGTGGGCTGAATCCTCCCTAGAGGGAACATATCTCTGCCTCTCTATCCCTTTTGTAATCGCCTGATGGTTCTTCCTGCCTGCTACACAGACAAAACCAATTCACTGAGACTGTGGTATTACAGTAAAGAAATAGTTTAATTAACATGAGGCTGGCTACATGAAAGAACTGGGGTTATCACTGAAATGAGTCTCCCTGGAGGCTCAAAGTGTAGAGTTTTTCAAGGATAGTTGGTAGGCAGGGGACTAGGGAATGTGTGCTGCTAGTCCCCAATTGGTTGGGGACGCATTCATAAGGGTGTGGAAAACAGCCCTCATGTGCTGAGTCCACTTCTGCATGAGGCCACAGGACCAGTTATGAGTCATGGGTCTCAGTGAGGTCAGTCTGAAAAACATCTCAAAAGACCAATCTTAGGTTCTACAGTACTGATGTTATCTGTAAGAGCAATCGGGAAGTCACAAATCTTGTGACCCTGACCACATGACTCTTGAGCCCTAAGGGATTAGGATTATAGAAACTATACCTACAAACTAGGTGTGGTGGCTCATCCCTCTAGTCCCAAGCACTTTGGAGGCCAAGATGGGCAGATTGCTTGAGCCCAGGAATTCAAGGCCAGCCTGGGCAACATGGCAAAACCCCATGTCTACTGAAAATAGAAAAATTAACCAAGCACAGTGGCCCATGCCCCTAGTCCCAGCTACCTGGGAGGCTGAGGTGGGAGGATCACCTGAACCTGGGAGGCAGAGGTTTCAGTGAGCTACGATCATGCCACTGCACTCCAGCCTGGGCCACAGAGTGAGACCCTGTCTCAAATACATAAACCAGGCATGGTGGCACATGCCTGTAATCCAAGCTACTCAGATGGCTGAGGCATGAGAGTAACTTGAACCCAGTGAGCAGAGATAGTGCCACTGCACTCCAGCCTGGATGACAGAGGCAGACTTAAAAAAAAAAGAAAGAAAGAAAGGGTGGGGGAGAGAGGAAGGGAGGTGGGGAGGGGCGAAGAAACTATGTCT